CTTATACGCGCGTCCATGCATTGTTATACACGTGTATACACCCACACACACACACACACACACGAGTTTGTACAGGATATTTATGTGGTAGCTGTTGCAGAGTCGGGACACGCGCGCGACCGAGCCGCAGGAAAATACGTACACGTGCCCATTTGTCTCGTCGAATTTTCGACGCCAGGGATGATTATTCTTGCCCCGCGCGAGAGAGTATACATCTATAAAAAAAACACCCCTCCCCCCGCTTGTTTTCCCACTCCTATATCCGTCCGTCACTCTCGCCTCTTGTATACCTACGCATTATGTTTCTTATCTCACGGACGATGTTAGGCCTTTGCCACCGTCTGACTACTGCTTTACTTGTTCTACTGCCGTCTTCGTCGTCGCGGTATTTACAACACTCGGCCCATTGTGTGTGTGTGTGTGTCCGCGCGAGATATTGTTTTTCCTCGATAAGAAACACTGCCGTGATACGTGTACGGATACGTATATTGTTGGAAGTAGCCTGATACCCTCCACCCCCACCCCTGACGTATAGGTATATTGTTCCCTTTCTCTGCATATAGCCTCTCGTTTCTTTTGTCTGTCGCTGTGTGTATATAATTGTGAGGTCTCGTGTGTGTACGCGAAATTTTCGTACATGTGTATGTATGTACACGGTACACGGGATGAGGCAGCTTTTGCTAAAGACTTCCGCACGTGACGATGATGATACAACAGCCCCTTTTTTTTTCTCCAACATCGGGACAATGGGACACGAGATTTTTTTCCCCCCTCGAACCTCCGCATGTATACATAATCGGATTGACGATGAAACGATATACCAAAGCTCCCTTACAGCTAATGTGTAACATTCATATGTATAGTAATGCGATTTCTCTCTAATAGCATTACACGCCGTGTTTACTGCTTCAATTTCAATGGGATAATTAAAAATTGATGGTACAGTGTCGAGCGAGAGCACACATATAGCCACACGTCGGCGCACAGGTTTTTGAATACTTGATCAGCGCGACCGGGCTCGGCAATGATTTTTAATTAGGACCGCCATGGCTGTGTAAGCGCCTTATAAAACCTTGGGTGAATATTTCGCCCAAACTCTAAGCTGCTTATGCAAAACGCCCGCCCTCCCCCCCCCCTCCCGAAAAGGATTAATGAATTAGCAGGGTTGTTTGGGCGCTCGGGTGATAATATACGCATCGTAATTGCAAATTCAAGCGAAAATATATCAACGACTCCATCGTTATTTTTTATAGGGTGCAAACGAAAATTAAATTGGCATATGTGAGTTGCACGGAAAATAGTATATAAGAGACTATAGTCTCCTTCGCACTAGTGGTACAGGCTCAGTTGTGTAAGATGAGGTGGGGTCAGGAGCTATGCCTATATATACAGCCTTAGAGCTCGTCGTCTCCGACGAATCCAATCAGCGTAACTTGAAATGAGGAGGAGCAAACGGCTGGCTTTGGTAATCTTTTTTTCCCCCAACCAGCTTTGTAACTGCTGTGGGGGTACGAAAAATAATGTTGCGTGTGTTTGCGAAATGGAGCACCGAAACTATACATGCTACGGGGTGATTGGAAATCAAAGGGTATTTTACGCACGAGCGAAAGTGGTTGGCATACATACACCTACATTTGCAGTGGTAGCGATGAAAAGTATGGAAATACCGAGCGAATCCATGAAACGCCCGCGAATAAAGTGGGGGAAACGAAAATGATGAGTAAAATGAAAATCGAAACTCGAATGAAGGCTAATAAATAACTCAACTTATACGTATTGATCTTTCTCCCCGTCACTTTGAATATATTTTTACACATCTATATGTGACGCACATTTAATGTTATCTCTCTTTCTCTCTCTTTTACTTCTTAATTTAAATCCGATCGCTTCTTTTTTCTTTCCTTCCTTCCCCAAACGTCCTCGCATATATATATATACAATTAAATTCAATACCACACTTCGTTTTTTTTTTTTTTTTTTTTTTTTACTTTGCGAACTGTTTGAGTCAACAACTCCGACTTGTCGTCCGAAACTTGTATGCCAGCCCCGTCGAGAACCCCAAGCCACCCGCACCCAAGCAACACAACACCCACCCCACGAGCTACCATACGCCACTTCTTCTCTCTATTCATATACGCAATGTGTATGTACACACACACACACACACACTCGGGCTCTTAACTTTTGTGCGTTTGCAGATATGGGTGCGCAACAAACGCGTGCCAAAAAGCCGTGCTACGCTCGAAAGTTATTAGTTGGCGGCCGTGTAAGTATACATTACACGCACCGCGGGAGAACAAAACCTTTAATTGCTCTTCGAACTCTCCCTCGCATCGTGTTTGTTTTAATCAACGCACACGTGCCCCATCTATCGGATCGTAAATAATACATGCGCCCTCTCGCGCATTATAACCCACCTGGGCTGTACAAGTGCTCGGTATAGGTGTGTGGATGGGCGTAATAGGCAGCCGAACGATTATTATCCCGGGGACGAGGCGCCCGTCGCTTGATTTATATATATATTTGGAGCCCGGACGCGGGCGAGAGAGGAATAATACCGAGAGAGGGAGGGGGGGGGGGGCGCTCACGCCCGATGAATTTCAAATGAGCCGGGGAGAAAAATTTCTTCGGGCTGTCGCTCCGCGTCGCGGCTGCCATCGGGAAATTACTCATGTGTACACCAAACTCCATTCAACCCCCTTCCAACTCCTCGTTTTTTTTTTTTTTTTTTTTTTCCGCTCGAGAGTGTAATAGTATAATGTCTGTACATAGTCAACTGTATTTACTCGTGTGCTCTCGTTTTTTTTCTTTATACTCATCGCGATATGCCTACTCTGCGAGGCTGTGTCTTCAAGATGGTGAATTATATTCACGGAACGTATTCCAATCGAATCTCCCTGCGGGTGTTATTACCGTGCAATTCCCTCCGTATTATTATTACATCCGGCGATTTTGCCGGGGGGGGGGGGAATTTTTCTACTTTGTTTTTTCCTCCGGTAATTTCATTAGTGAAATTATTGGCGTTCGAATCAGCGAGCGAACGAGCGGGCAGGGGGGGGGGAGACCGCGGGTATGGTAGAAAGAGCTCCCACGTATATACGGGGGAGAGAGGGAAAATTCAATGAAAAGAAAAAAAAAATATATCGGAGACGCAGCTAGGAAATACTAAATAATGTCCAGAGACCAACGAGCTGCGACTTTAAACTGTGAGCTAGCAGGTGCACGTTTGGCATTAGCATACTTTTGTACATTTATCTTAGCTATATTACAATAAATTCAAGGCCCATGGCTCCAACGTATATAGATACCTGCAATGTTAGGACTCTGCATGCACCTATCGCCCTATCATATAGATACAAAAATAAAAAAAAATAAAAAACCCAAGTATTTAAATTGCACGTTTGCATCTTGTGTCTGTCTCGCTATACACGCACACAAGTGCCCCGTCCCCCAGCATTTACTTTTACACACTTATACATGTGCATGTGAAACGCATGATTGTTATTGTTGTTGTTAGCATATTATATAATGTTTGCAGCGTGTATTGTTTGTATGTGCAATGTACGTGTAGCTTCTTGGTGTGCTTTCGTGCTTTTTTCGTTCGCGATAATTTTTTGCGCGCTTGCAGAGAGTGTGCGTTTTGCATCGAGAGCTAGAGGAGAGCGCCGACCGAAAAAGTCACAAAAACAAAAGAAGGGGAGGAACTTTTTCAGAGTCCGTGCTCTCTTGTGTGTGCGTGTGTTTGTTCGCTGCAGCTGTTGGCTCGACACTGCTTTTCATTGCACAAGTGGCTCCCCCGTCCCGGCAAACAGGTGTAAACGAACCGGCGAACGAGAGAAATCCAGCTCCACTTGCCCCTCATCTAATCCCCGCCCCTCCGGAGAATTGCGAGAAAAACGTGAAACCAATTACTGAACTTCCTTACGCTAAATAAAGACGAGGCTCTCGTTGTAAAAAAGAATCCCTCCGACGTGCCTTGACTTTCCGTACAACGTGTTTACGTACCGCTTTCCTCATCCCTCCTTCCCCGCTTTCGTTTTTCACAACAAACTCCTTGCAATTTTCTCGTTACGCGGTCATTATTGTTATTACCCTATAGTTTAATCTGCAATGCAATCATAGCACACCCTTAAACTTCTCCAACAGTAATTAACGCTTCACCTTTCCTACACTCCCCCCCCCACACACCTTCTCTCTCTCTCTAAAATATTCTTTTACGACTTGAAATAATCAAGCATGCAGTTGGTGGACTCGTCATGAATGACCATGCAAAACTAGTGTTTTTCTTTTTTTTTTACCCGATATATTCCATATTTATTGTATGGTAGATATTACTTACGCGCGTGCCTGAACTTTCATTTTTTACATTCTTCAACCTTTTCATTCTGTACTGTTTTTTCAATTCTTTTCCTTTTCTTTCACATTGATATATACAGATGCACAAACCGGGATGCTTTAGACCATACTATAAATACACACGATGCATATCATTTTTCATCACTTTTTGCAGTAGAATACGTGAGATTTCAAAGCAAGGCGACCCCGATTTCAGTTCGATGTTGCAAGCAAACTGTCATCCGTACGTATAACAATTTGAAATGCAACTGTACATTATAGTCTCGCCTTTGATCACCGGTTTAAACTTTAAAGTTTGAATTTAAGATACAAGCATCGCATTGTTTGGAACCAATTAAGTAACGATATCTTGTGTTGAAAGTGTATCGCTTGGGATGGAAGCTGCAAAATAAAAAAAAAGTGCATGTAAAACGATCGGAATACTTGCGTTAAAATCTCACGTATAACCGCGTGCAAAGTTTCAATTAGCTTCTTAAAAAGAAAAAGAAAAAAGTAACTTTTTTTTTTTTTTCTTCGGGATTGCATTGATAAAGTTGAAACTTGACAATACCATTGTACACTTACCGTTAGGTACATGTAAATGTACGTGTACACGTCCAAGGGTGCAAAAGAAAACTGTCTGAGCATTGCTTGTCTGCCCGCAGGAATATTCCGTTCAGTTGACATTCCGAGAACAATGGATCGACGATAGACTCATATTTAACGACTACAATGGTAAGACCGAGTTCGCCTGTAACTAAAAACCTTTACGCATGAACACCACCTTACATTATACATGTACGATATAACCAGTCCATTGTATACGCTGGAAGTTTATGGCTACGTAGGTATATTATATATACGTGTCCATAAACCAGCTCGTGTAATATGTTACGATGGATTCTCCAACCTTGTATGTGTAACTAACGTTGTACGTACCGGCGAGTGACGAGTGTCCTTTTGTTATTTTTTGCTCGTCCGAAAAACCAAAAGGGAAACTGAAATACCTGACTCTGACGGACGCGAGCCGAGTATGGATGCCCGATCTGTTTTTCGCGAACGAGAAGGAGGGTCACTTCCACAACATCATCATGCCCAACGTGTACATACGAATCTTTCCCAACGGGTCGGTCCTCTACAGCATACGGTGAGTACAAACATTTCCATCCTCGGCTCTTCATGAATCATTGAAACATACGCCTACTCCTCGGGAATTTCACGCGCATTGAAATTCATATTCGGGATTTGCTCGTCCCTGCTGGATCGAGACCAGAGAGGGAGAGGAGCTGCGGCTCGAGCGAAAATTCTCATTATTCAGATTCTAAAGTATCAGCGAAAAATCTGGAGCGCGCCTCCCCCTCCCTACCTCCCTTTTGCTCCTGACGCGTCAGAAAATATATTAAAACCCGTGTTGACTCCCCGCGGGCCCAATTGAAAATTATACTCCATTATCCTGATAAAAAAAGAAAAAAAAAAAAAAAAAAAAAAAAAAAAAAAAAAAAAGAAAAAAAAAGAAGAAGGAAACAATGTTATTGCAGCGCAAGTTCTAAAAATTTACAATTTTCGGAGCCCCTCGTTTTTTCTGAAATTGTTGAATTATTCAATTGCAGAATATCGCTGACGCTCTCGTGCCCGATGAATCTCAAGCTCTACCCACTCGACCGTCAGACGTGTTCTCTGCGAATGGCCAGCTGTGAGTACACTCTCGCGAACTGCACGGAAAAAAAAAAAGACACGACGGTACATTGATGGTATTTCTTTTTTTTTCCAACCAAAATCACAGACGGATGGACCACCGCGGATCTGGTGTTCCTGTGGAAGGAGGGCGATCCCGTGCAGGTGGTCAAGAACTTGCACCTGCCTCGGTTCACTCTGGAGAGGTTTTTCACGGATTACTGTAACAGCAAAACAAACACCGGTAAGCCTATATACCACTATGTATATTACATACATCGGGAAAGCTTTTCATTTTGCTTCAGACTATATGTATTATATATGCAACATTCACTCGTATGTAATATAACTCTCTCGTTTGCTCCACCAGGGGAGTACAGCTGCTTGAAGGTGGACCTGCTCTTCAAAAGGGAGTTCAGTTACTACCTCATCCAGATTTACATCCCCTGCTGTATGCTGGTCATCGTCTCCTGGGTCTCCTTCTGGCTGGATCAAAGCGCCGTGCCGGCTCGCGTGTCCTTGGGTGAGCGAACGACCATCTCTCCACTACATATATAATACCTATACCTCGTGACCGTAGCTGTGGAAAGACGCCCACTCCGGCGCATCAAAGAAATCCGCGTCACGGAGCTCTTCTCTCTCTCTTTTTTTTTTTTTTTCTTCTCAACTACAAAATTACCGCTGTTCGGTCAGAGGTGAAATTAACTTTCCGGTTTTTCTTTTCTTCGTTGAGTTGAAAAAAAAAAAAAAAGTTCGCTCTTGCCTCGAGGCGTCAAAACAAATACATAACAAACACGTCCGAGCCGTCCGAGTGTACAAGGACAATCGTCGCGTCGGGTATTTATATTTGGGCTGGACAAACACCCGCGTTGCGACGCGATACCCAATTGGAAGGGGGCGAAGGGTGGTATAAAGACACACATTTTTTTGCCAGGAGTGACGACTCTGCTGACGATGGCGACCCAAACGTCGGGGATAAACGCCTCGCTGCCCCCGGTGTCGTACACCAAAGCCATCGACGTTTGGACGGGGGTCTGTTTGACCTTCGTGTTTGGGGCGCTGCTCGAGTTCGCCCTCGTCAACTACGCCTCGCGCAGCGACATACACCGCGAGAACATGAAGAAGAAGTACCAGGAGATGGAGCACTCGGCCTCCGTCGATCCGGCCTCGGAGCCCTTCGAGCCGGATACCGCCGGCTTTGCCATGGTCAGTGTCTTTCCGTCCCCTAATATATTCTCTTGTCTGTTTTTTCTTTTTTTCTTTTTTTCTTTCTTTCACCTTTTGTTATCTTATCCGTTTATTTATTACACCTTTATTTTTTCATGCATCGGATGTCTGATCGTATTTTGTTACAACAAAGTACATTATATACATCATAGCCCACGTCCCCAGCTCGTATCTGCCTCATATATTCTTTTGAATACATTGACAGTGATTTTTATGTTTTTGGTACGCGTAAGTGCCTTAGACGTTTGAGCAGATAAGTGCGGGGTCCGGGGTAGCTTTGGATGTGCAACGATATTTTTTCATTATACTAGCGTTCAGTTAAATTTTTGTTTTTTTCCTTAGCTCCACTTTTTTCTTCTGCTATATATACATATATATATTTTTTTTTTCCATGTTGCACTTTTCCATGCTTTTAAAATAATTTAGTAATCACGATATGTGTATGTAACAAGCAAGTAAACCGTGTTCGAAAAACAAAATCGATCATAAAATTTTGAAGGAAATTTTTGTTTTACAGGGAAATGAGTGGTCTAGATTTTTTAATTCTAGTAAGTTTTCAATCAATCGATTCATATTAATTTATATGTTGAGTGGTAATGAGTAATTATTTTTTATTATTATTATTATTACTATTATTATTATTTTTACTATAATTATTATTATTATTATTATCATTTTGGGACACAAGTTTACTTGTTCCTCGATCGATATGTGCATGCTTAGTTGACATGTATATTTTATTACGTATATTAGAATTTTTAATTAGAATTGATTGTGTGTACATGTGTGCGTGCGTGATATTTAATTATTGTTTCATCCACACGAGATCAGTCCTGTTTAATTTTTTTTTTACTTCATCGCAATTTTTAGATCACAAAAGTTGTCGCTGAAAGCAAGCCAAGAATATATATATATATATATATATATATATATATGTA